CTCTTCACTTTGGTGTAATTGATATTATATAATTGGTTCATCAGCAAATTAAATTTCTGCCTAACCAGTACTCTGAACTGTTTCACAAGTTGTGCGGCCTGAGTCACCATCATTAGTATGAACATTACGATCTGCACCCTTAATACCCCCTTTGATTTTCATCATTTCTTTTTTGCCAAGTGATACGATAACCGTTTTTTCAAATGACAACGATTTGCCGGTATTCTTTTCCTTTTTCTTCATAAAATTGTTAGATTTTCTAAATATATAATTTACTTTTTTTAATACGCAACAATTACAATGTTGAACTACACAATTATTTTCTCTTACTAAGTTCTCCCTGAACTCTGTTTTTCATTCCCTGTACACTCTTATAGTATTGATATAAAAAAATCATAGATCACAGCTTCGTGCAGTCTTGAAAATTCAGGAATAATACGATTGACCAGCATATGTATATAACTGCTTAACAAATCCACCATTGAAACCTTTAATGTTTTGTTCATCTCCATTTCTCGGAGCTCCCGGATAATTGGATTAATCTGCTCAGTACGTTGTCTCAAAATCAGGTAAAAATGATAAAATTGATCATCTGACTGCTGTACACTTAATGAAGCGTAAATTTCACTTTTCTTTTCCCTGAAAGATTTGGCAAGTTGTTTCCTTTGTTCTGCTCCAAACTTAAATTCCGAACCAAATGCCTCTTTGAGGGCTCTCATAAATTCAAGCTTACGTTCTGTCGTAAATTCAAAAGCTTCCAACAAGGTATCAATAGAAAGAATTGCATATTGCCAGCGAAGATTTTCCCTTTCATCACCCGAACTCTGATCAAGAAAACCAAGGAAGGAGATACTATCATAATAAAAAAACTTTTCAGCGAGCGCTAAGGTGTTCATACCATAACGACCATATTCCGGTTGATAATTATCAGTCATTATTTTCCAGAGAAAACCAGTTTTCTGATAAGGTTTAAATGAGTTATGAAATACCCTGGTAACATAGGGCAGCCACTTGATGTCATTTAATTTTAAACGAAGCCTGATATGAAAATCGCTATCAGTATACCGGATAAAAAACCACTCTTTGACCCAGCC